CGTTGAACAGATATTCCCTTTACAAGTGAGCAAGGAAAGCTTAGTCACTCCCAATATCTCGAGAACCAAAGAAAGGAACACAAATCTTGACTTACCTGGGTCTGATCTGACTGTAGATAGTACAGAAGGCCATTGTCAATATGCTTCAGGTACCTGCAAAGTGGAAAATGTGATATAAGAATGAAAGTGTAAATTGCTGTCCGTTTTCCAGCAAAAAAGAAAGAAAGAAAGAAAGGCAGCACATAAGCACCTCTCAGACATAAGGAGCGTGTACAAGATCACCTGTGCAGAATGTTCCATTGATGACTGCATAACACAATAAAGACCAAGCGCATAGTTTTTATTCAGCTTTTAGAACTTCAAATTGCAACCTAATATCTAGATAGATCTCCACACAGACCTGACCACTAGGAGCTTTTCCAGATTTAAACTCAAGAGGCATTATCTTCTCATTCCCTGTGTTCATGTCAGATTCAACTATCACTCTGACAGAAGCATCAATCATCCCTTTCAGACCATATTTAGGGGCCCATGACATCTCCTCAATATCAATAACCTGAGGTAAGAAATTTGTTTATATACAAAATAGAAGTCCCATTGGAGGAGATTGCTTAATAAACAACAATTATTATGCAATGATGTCAAATGGAATCCTAAGAAGACAAAAAGGGAGAGAGTTGGAGGAGCTCTAACCTCTGATATCTTAACCATTTTCTTCCCAATGGTAGAACCAAAATCAACATTTGATACCCCCGGGTCCTGTTTATAAACACCATGCCATGAGTTAAGGATGTTTCTGCCTTTTTAGAAAAAGAGAGAGGAAATCAGACAGAGCAGAGAAGCATGCTCAAACTACCCCAAAGATTTCAGTAACTGGCATTTGCACAGTAAAATAAATATAAAAGTGACTGCCAATACGAGCTCTGTACTTTGTAATTGGATATATGTAGGTGAAAGGCAGCATAACAGATAACATGAAAAATTTGTGTTTACCAAACAAGCACATCCACGAGAAAACAAGTCCAACAAACATAAGAGCATAACGCAGTAATATGTGCACGGAACACTATGAAAATATTTGAAGAACAGCCAAGCAGAAGAGTAGCCAAAACAATTACGTCCATTTTAAGGAAATAGTGATATAACAGCCATGAGTAGCTCAAGAAAGAATCAAAAATAGGAAAATACAAGTGTACCTTAGAATATCTAAAATGCTGAATCCAATTCAACATTTTCGGGATAACTTTAAATAAAGTTGATCTCACGTCTCCTTCATGCACTGTAGAGAACATATAATCAAATAAGAAAATGATTAAGTGCATTTCATTGGGTCAACTCTTAGCATGTTCGTATTAAAAGCAGAGCTAAATTTTGAAGTAATGTGAATCTTAAAAGCACATAGAACAAACCAGGTATCACAGCCATTTCATTTTAAAATTCTTAATGTTAATAAGAGGTATCCTAGCTATATTAACTCAAAATTCTGATATAAATAGGAGGTATCCTAGCTATATAGGGACACGTAATGTAGTAATCAACCTCCACATGCATATAAGCTCTCAATACTTTGCTCAATCACTATGCTTGCATATTCCTGCAAACCATCTACAGATGGAGACTCTTGCGTGAGACCAGCCTAGAAAACAAAGGAAATGGATAACACAGATCAGTACATTGCAAGAAATAAAACAAAAACACTCATTTTCCAACAGAATAGTCTCGTCAAAGATTCCATAATGTAGTAAACCTGAAAAACTTGGTGTTGCAAGGTTCCAAGCAAGGCTACTGTAGCGTGTTCATTGGATCTAAGCCTCTCATCTAGCACGGTTCGCCTTGGGCAACCAAAACTTGCGGCAACCTGAAAGGTAGGACAGTTATTCACAACAAAAAAAAGGAAAAACTAAATTAAGTGCAAAGGATTGGTATTTGTAATCAGAGTCCATAAAGTGAAGACGAAAATATACCCTAGTTCCAGCAACAAGGGTATCAGGATGAACAATTAAGAAATTGTTTTGACGGTCCACGTCACACTTGCCATCCCCATCAAACTCTCCAATAACATTGATTGAATCTCCTGGTGATACAGTGCTGTAAAACCTGGTAACAATAAGCCTTCAGTGTTCAGGAGTCAAGTTTCAACCAACGGGAAATGAATTGATGATATTTAAATGCCCCATACGCTAAGAGAATAGAAAGATAAACAACAAGAAAGTGTGTAGTGTGCAATCAGCCGACATTTGGAAACTAAAAATGGCAAAAGCATTCAAGACCAAGAAATCCAAGAACAAGGCGTAATAGATTCATCAAACATTGAATGGAAAAGTAAGACCACTTGCTATTTTTGAAGTAATTTGATCTGAAAAGCAGAGATCACCCTAAATTTCATCCAAAATAAAGTACCATTCATCCCAGAGATACAATGCACATTCCACTCCAGTGTGCTCATCTAGCAGGCGAAGAACCTGAGAGAAATTTAGTCAGGAAATATGAGCATGTACAAGAGAGAAACCTCCGTATACATGACGAACCTTATAAGGACATTGACCCTTAGATGAGCCACCCGAGCCACGTTTCTCTGATACCTGTAGTACAACTCTGGACAATGAGTAACTTTTACATGAAAACCAGATTGCTACCCCCCAAGGACAATTAAGGCCAACTTTACCTCCAATACAAGGAAATAGCTATCTGGATTTATGGAAGTATGCATTTTTGGTAGAGTAACTGGCCCTTCATCTACAGCGCAATCAACGACAGAAGAGATGATATCATCTTTAACTCGAACTTGGGGCATCACAATCCCCACATCATCAGCTGTTTTGTCATCAACTGTGATGACATCCTCCACTTGATCTAACAGTTCAAGCAAGGCCTACAAAAAGAGGCAATATGCTGAAATAATATTTTGACACGCTGTAGAAAACAAATTCTACTGGAAATAATGCATGTAGTCTTGATCAACCACAGGTGGAAGTGACAAATCGTATTACATATATTCTAAATACGCCTTTGGTAAGCATCTAAAAGACTGCACCAAGTCTCAAATCATACCTTTTTATGTTGTCCAGCCCCCGTAGATCCACAAGCTCCGCTGCATGTTACAGTACAAGGAAGCTGAACATAAACAGAGCAAAGTTAAGAAGTACATAAAATGTGCTCATAAATCTATTTATAAAGTAATTTACCTTGTTGTGAGGGCATGAAAGAGACGGTGGGGTCTGGAAAGGACTGTTTCCACTACTTGAAGTGTTAACAATTTCAAACTCCGCATCTGGGGAAGGATTTACGCTTTCCATGACCCTATTTGTTGCAAAAGCTGGTCTTTTGAAAGCTTTTTTTGAGGGGGAAGATAACCACTGCTCAACCTTGGAAGTTATGCCAGATGTCGGACATTGTTTCTGCACTAGTTGCTGTTAGTTTTGATGTGAAGAAGGGAAATGAAACAGCAACCGAATCAAGAATTAGTTTTTAAAAAAAAAAACAAATTAAAGCTGTAAACATGCCTTGTCCAGAGAGCAAGGGCGAATGGTAGAAGATTTAACCCCTACTGGATTTTCTGTCAACTCCATCATCTTAGGAATTTGCTTAGCAGCTGCGCGAAGTCTTTCATTTACAGGAGAGAATTTCCAAGTTATCTCTCCACCACAGTCATCTTGACTTTGCTTTATCAGCTATCAACATAAAAGAAGCGTGTAAGAATTATACGAGCAAAAGGGACTCAACCATGTGGGCAGATATTATAGGGTAAGTAGAATCTTGCAATTACATTACCCAGCAATCTAAACTATAAAATTAGTATATAAAGGAATATAAGAAAAGAAACTACCGTTCCAGGAGAGAATTTGGAGCACTTAAGGTTTTTGGAGATCTCAGGAGATGCCTCCGGGAGTTGCTGGTCCATATCCTTGGAATCATCAGGTTTCTCATCCAATGTGCCTAGAGGGTTTTGAGGCGTTAAAACTGCAGTGTCAGAGGGAAGACCATTCACATTCTGTTGCTCAATTGGGTTGGCAGTGGAGGTATGAGAGTTGGAAGTTGATTGGGAGTTCTGAATATGTCGAAGGAACAACTGCTGGATGCCAAAGTTGGAAGGTTGTGACGAATGATTGGCTGAAGATTGTTTGTTTGATTTCAAAGCTGAAGACTTGGGCTTCTTTCTTGGTGGCATTTCCAATGGCTAATACTCGGCACCCTGAAATTTGGATGGATCTGTTAAGAAACGAAAATTCTGATGGAGCTGATAAAACTTTGAGCATATTAACTTTGCATTAAACTTCAATGATGCACTGTAATAATGTCTTACGGATTCTTATATATCTTAGTCTGAAACTCCAAACAACAAGGCATATAAGTAAAATACCTTTCTCAGGATCACGCTCTAAGAATCAAACAACAAATCCTGAAAGTAGTTGACGAAGCATCCCCGGAAAATCCAATAAATTCCAAAATTAATGGAGCTTCCACAAACCTAGACCCAACAGAAGCTTCCATAACCATAAACGAACTTCGCTACCACTGAAAAACCCCACAATCTACATGAATTGAGAAATTAAAACCAGATTTCGTAAACTAACCAGGCACGGGGAAGTAGAAAGCAATGGCGACGGTGACGGCGATGGCGATGGCGCAAACGACGGCGAGTGAGGCAGTGAGAGACTGAGAGGTGAAGCCTCTGAAAATCAATTTCAACCAAACCCCGCGTCTTTATTCACCTTAAACCGGAAACTATCCGGTTCAACCAGCTGATTCGGTCTGGATTCCAATTAATGTCCTTAACCCGGTGTAAAACCAGAACAAACCCACTAAAAACCGGTGACACTTTTTCAATACTATTGGGTGTTATCAGTTACATTAGCTTTTGTCACAAAATTTACATTTGTAGTTTAGAACCCATTCGTGTATTTTAAAACTTCGGGTTCGGATTCGGACCGGACCTACTTTTGTGGGTAGAAAAATGAAAAACAGTAACTTTTCGAGGACCGAGGACCAAAATTTACATTTGTAGGGTTTTAGAAAATGTTCTTCATTGTTTGGAGCTCCTCCGAAGAACGCTATCAAGTTTCAACCTTGGCAGCCATGGCGAAGCACCTAACCTAATTCGTTAACTGAGTCTTAATTTTAGTTTCTTCTATCTCCGTGGGTGGCTCAGTGGGTGGGTTTTCAGAACCTGATTTTCAGATTCCTTTGAGTATCTCCTCTGCAATATCAACCATCGATTTCCAGGTGGGTTAGTGTAGTTTTATTCCAAATTGAGCTTCCAGCTGCATTCGAATTGAAGACGAGCCAATATTTCCTATAAAAGAAGTTAATTTTGTTATGATCGCATCGTGGGTTTGAGTTTCGAAATTCGATGTTGGCAATTAGAAATTATAAATTCTTGGCACCAAGCTTTTTAGCTACTCTGTATCTTTTTGATTGTTATTGAGAGAAGTCAAGTTGTTTGCCTTCTCTATTGCTTATTCCAAATGGTTTCGTTTTCTGGGCAATAATAAGAACTCTTCGATATGTTGGGATGAAGTAATGGAATGACACTAAAAGAAAGCATACTTTTGTGACAAAGCTACTATCCTTATTCCATGTATAATTTCGTTTTAACAGTTAGATAGATCATAGAATGTCTTCATGAGCTCTATTTTTCCTAATGACTGAATTTTACTGTATGTGGGTTCAGATATTATGTTGAAGCAAGTGGTTACCAAGTATTCCATAGGTAAAGCGGCGATTTATGGAAGTAACAGAGAAAAGCTTAGACCTTTCCTGTGCCAAACCAGTTGTCGGTTCCACAATGCACGGGTACTCCCTTTCGTTACTTTACCAAATAGTTTGATTTTTAGTTGAATTAGTAGATGAAGTGTATTTTTTTAATCAGGTCTTGTGACTCCTGTTAGATTGAAATCTCATAGCTAGATCTGCTTGGAAACCGACGTTAAACCACTCTCTTTAGCTTTAGTGCTGTTTGTTAGAAAGAGGTTTGATGATTGTATAAGCAGAACCCAAATTAGTTAACCGCTGAGTTATATAAATTGTAGCTCATTAAAGTAATTGGCTGGATTGTTCTACCTCTCAATGGTCTGTTGGTCTTTGCTAATGCCATCACTTTTAGTCTGTCCATTTAGTTGAGTCAATATGCTATAACTACATGGAATGTATTAGATTTATTAAGTCTACTTTGTAATCATTAAGTTTCAGCTCCGTTCTAAGTATTGAGTCTTTCGTTGAAGGCTTGAAGCTACTATTTCTTGGTCTTTTGTATCTGTTTCTAATTTGACCTGGCTTTGCCACTCTTGACAGACTGTTTTTGCACCAAGAAGCTTCTTTGGTGTAGAAGACTACGTGGATGATGACACAAGCCGGCCTTACACATACCAAAAAGAGAAAAAGTCGAAGAATCCAGACAAGCATGTGTCATTCAAGCAACGAACAGTCGCATACATGGAGCCGTTCACTCTAGATGTCTTCATCTCAAAGCGCTTTGTTTCGGCATCTCTCACTCACCGTGTCACGTGTAGGCAAGTTGCTGTTGCGGGAACAAACTCTAAAGACGTAAAAGCTGTTCTGAGGTCAAGATGTGATATCCCGGCATGTATGTCCATAGGGAGGATCTTGTCCGAGCGTGCAAAAGAAGCTGATGTTTACACGGCTTCTTATACGCCAAGGGACCAAGAGAAGTTTGAAGGGAAGATCAGAGCTGTTGTCCAGTCCCTTATTGATAACGGAATTGATGTTAAAATTTATCTCGATTAGAAACCAAATGTTTATTGTGTCTGTGCTGGAAATTAGGGTTTGATTTTGATTTTCCTATCAAACCTTATGGATTCAACCAGAAACAAACTAAATCCCAACAATCTTGGAAAAAAACAGAACATGTGACAAAGTCTATTTTGAAACTGGAATCCCAAGCGAGTCACTGCTCATTACTCATGTTATGTAAATTTCAATTACTTTTCAAATCTCTTTTAGGCTTGACATTTGGTGTAGGTTTTTTAGACTTCCTTTGAATTTTTCGGGAATTCATTGCATCATCAACTCTGAGAAAATGTCGCCTGCCTCTAGTTGAATTAGTCTCTTATATAATAGTTTTATGTTGGCGGCAAAATAGTGACATGTAAAAAAGGTGCAAGATAGGAAAACAAGTAGGAAAAAAAGCGTAGAGCTACATTTTTGATTTTTCACAAGTGTATGAGAGCCGGACTTAAGGGCATTATTATGATGCATTGCAATGGGGCCCCTATTTTAGAAGGGTTCTACATAATTTGTTTTCTTGTATATATGTATATTAGTTATTGTTTATAGATCCTAAAATGTTATGTGTGTCTAAAAAATTTATAATTATTATATACAATTGAATAATAAAAAAGAAATAGTAAGTTATTTTTTCTTTACAAACCATTAGATTTCTTTCATCGAATAAGAGAAAACTTTTTTATTTTAAGAAATTCTAAAACAATTAAGAGTTTTGCTTAAACTAATTCTTTTTTACTCTACTTTTTTTATTTTATAAAAAATTTGATATTATTTTTTATTTAATTCGTATGGAGCCCCCGATTTCTTTGGTCCGGCTCTGAGTGTATGACCATCCAATGTAGAAGAAACAAGACTCTCGTTTTCATAGTAAATACAAAGAATAAACAAAACTAGATATATTTTGCCCAAAAAAAAAAAACCTAGACAGAAAAAATAATTATGAAATCATATAAATTTTTATATCAAATTAAAAACCCAATAATGTAAACCTTAACTAATCCTTAATACTTAAGATTCAAACAATATCTAGTCTAATTAAAAAATTGGAATTAATTAGCTTATTTATATAATTAAGATTTTTAATTATTCGTAACACAAACAAGATTTTGCGGGGAAAAAGAAAAATTTATGAGAGAATAGAAGCGGAGGAGGAAGGAACATTCGGAGAAACGAGAGAACTTGAATAAGGTTGAATTGAAAGTAGAAAGTGTATTTTTCCTAATAAAAGTGTTAAAAAGTGATCAAAAGACGTTTCCTTAAAAATCGAAAACGAAACGCGTTTTGAAATCCAAACACAAACAGGATTCAACAAAAACCTTTTCTATTTCTTGGAAGGTCGAACCAACCAATTTCCTGAAAATTCTTCTTTGCTTTTCTTTGTATTAAAAAAGAAAACTTGTCTTTTTTTACGCGTATATCTATCTGTTCAATATAATATATAGAGAGCTAGAAAAGTTGCAGAATCCTGTGTTAATCATATAATCTGCATTGTGAAATCTTCTAGGGTTTGATCTGACTCGAAATTTGGGATTTTTAGGGTTTTAATCTATAGAAAGAGAGAGAGAGACAATGGGAGGTTGTTTATCTGGAGATGTGCAAGGAGGCAAACAAGCCATTGGAGGGGTCCATCAGAGACCCACTTCCTCATCCATCGCCAACAATGCGGCGCACAACGACGCTGTCGATTTTTTCTTCAGATCTCGTGGTCAATATCCTCTCTTTTCTCAAATCGAGGTACCAAAAGTTAGGGCTTTTTATGCTCGTATATATGTGTTCACACTTGGATAAGTCAACCAAGTTAACAAATTGTGAATTGAATATTTGCTAAAGTGAATAAACATTAACCTAGATCCTCGATTTCTGGTTGGAATCATCGTGCTTTTAGGGATCATCTTTGTTCTTCTTTCTTATCCATAGTGGATAAGGTATTATTTTGTACTTTTCTAAGGAGCTCACTCATTGACCTGTGTTCAGTCTTTGTCCATGTTTTTCTCTCTCTCTCTTTTGCGTGCGTGGGGTTAGTTTATTGAGTTGAATCGTCTTATATGTGGGGTATAAAGTGTGTGTATAAATATATATATAGTATATCTTTAGCGTATTGTTTTGTTTCTGAGAAAGTAGGCCAGGTTATGCCATGAAAACTATAATTTAAGGTAAGTTGCTACGAAACATAACACAAGAATACTATACTATTAGTCTGCAACTTCCTTCAGTGCAACCATTCAATATTTGCACTATTCATAATAAAAGAAAGATGAACTTCTCCTTCACATTTGTTTTTGGTGACTTAAGGATGGCTTAAAGTTTTCGCTTTCTTTTGCTTATTGCTTATGGTTTTACACTATTTCTTTTGCATTTTCATGGAATACCTTAAATTTTTTGTCACAGGTTTACCTTTAAGTGGTGTTTAACATTATGAATTTGTGTTTTGCAGTTAACTTTGTCGGCTTTAAACTTGTTGGACTGTGACATAACATCTAAGGTATGCACATACAATTTATTAATCGATAATCCAGAATATTCATTCTTTCCACATGTACGCTATAATTGAATCCTGTCTACTACTACTAGTTTAAACTTATTGGATTTGGTCGTATGAGATTCAAAGCCATTTTTACTATAAAGTTACATGTGAAGTTGATGAATTTTCGATTTCTTGTAGAGTGATCCGGTGGCTGTCATGTATTTGAGGAAAAAGGATGGGAGACTTGAGGAAATTGGCCGTACTGAAGTCATACTTAACAGCTTGAATCCAAAGTGGATTGAGAAGATAACAGTCTCTTTTCAGTTTGAAGCTGTCCAGACATTAGTGTATGCCACTCTCAACAAATTTTTTCTGATGAATTGCACATGTTGAACTCATGTTTAAACTTGTATGACTCTTTTTCTTTTCAGTTTCCACATCTATGATGTCGATACAAGATATCACAATGTGCCAGTGAAGGTAATATTTTCATTGATAGTAAAATCCGGTGGATAAGATGTTTGCATTTTGATTATAATTGTTACACCTTAAAAATGGTTTCAAGATACTGTATAACTCTACAGACATTAAAGCTGAAGGACCAGGATTTCTTGGGAGAAGCCACATGTGTTCTGTCCGAGGTAAATTTATTCAATAATCAGACACTGCTACTCGTGATGGCTTCATTGTTGCTTGGCCATTAATTTCTGTTACTGCTCTTTGTGTACGACATATCTTATAACTTCCATTTACATTCCTCTTTCAATCACCAGATTATGACAAGACCTAACCGGACAGTGACATTAACTCTTACTGGCAACGTTAGAGCTGGTGTGAATAGAAATTTGGGAACACTCTCTGTCCAAGCTGAAGAAACAGTTGCTTCTAAAACTGTCGCTGAGATTAATTTTCGCTGTGTCAATTTGGATAACAAGGACTTGTTCTCTAAGAGTGTACGTACAAACTTATGCATTCTTGTCCTTCTAGGTAACAATATTAAGATTTCTTGCAGAAGTTTTAACTTATTATCTTATTATCTCTTTCTAGGATCCTTTCTTAAGAATTTCAAGAATTGTTGAGACAAGTGCTGCAGTCCCAATTTGTCGGACTGAGGTAGTGGACAACAACCTCAATCCCATGTGGAGGCCTGTGTGCTTGACTATGCAGCAATTTGGAAGCAAAGTAAGCTAGTTTTTTTACTGTAATTCAATGTATTTGAAGTAATCATTATGTTAAATTGCTTGTTTTGCTTATGCAGGACACCCCATTGGTTATCGAGTGCTTTGATTTCAATACTAGTGGGAATCATGAGCTTATTGGGTAACATACCTTAAACCTTCTACCGGGTCTCACCATATTTTGATGTTTGTTACTGACAATCGTACTGAACCTTGCAGAAAGACAGAGAAATCTGTAGCAGAATTGGAGAGACTCTGTCTCCAGAAAGAGGCTGCAAACTTTGTCTATCCATCTCTTAGGGGCAACAAGGTGCCTACTCTTACCACTTGATTGAAATCTTAATACAGTTATTTGCATCTGTTTTTCGTTAAGATTTTTTTTGGGATTTTGTAGGTTCTGAAAGGCCAGCTCATCGTGGATCGTTATATGGAGAAAGTCCAGTACAGTTTTCTTGATTACATATCCAGTGGCTTTGAACTTAATTTCATGGTTGCAGTTGACTTCACTGGTGATTCACCTTCTTCTACTTTTATAAATCTTATTTTGTTACTTAGAAACCTTGAGTTTTATGATTGATGGTCTGTCTTCCAGCTTCAAATGGTGATCCCCGAACTCCAAGTTCTTTGCACTACATTGATCCATCAGGCAGATTAAACTCATATCAGCAGGTACTATTGTTACACCTTCAATTCTTTTGTATGGAACCAGTTTTTTGTTTGCGATTTGTATCATCAATACCAATACATTTCTTGGACTAGAAGTTCATGATTAGTTCTCTCGTAAATGGCTAATGAAATAACATAGATTTGGCTGAGTATAAGACAATCGTCTCATTGCTACTTCTTTCAGTGTGGTCATTCTCCCTTGATCTATCGTATGTACAAACATAATTTGGCTTCTATTATTTTCCAGGCTATTATGGAAGTAGGAGAGGTCATCCAGTTTTATGATTCTGATAAGCGGTTTCCTGCCTGGGGTTTTGGAGGAAGAACATCGGATGGTTCTGTGTCCCATGCTTTCAACTTGAATGGAGCTTCATATGGCGACGAGGTAACTTACGAGACAGAAATATTGTTCTCCCTTATTTATTGGATCTAATATTGTGTTCATACTGGTGTATATTATTACAACTAGATTATAAGGAACTTTTGTATCTTTTATTATTTCAGAACCATGAAACATTGCATTCTCAAAATTACATGTTAAATGTCACATAGCTTCATATTCACTTTTCGTTTTTAGGTTGTTGGAGTTGAAGGAATCATGGCAGCTTATGCGAGTGCTCTTCGCAATGTTGCTCTAGCAGGACCAACTCTATTCAGCCATGTGGTCGACAAGGCTGCTCATACTGCTTCTCAGTCACTCTCACAAAACAGTCCCAAGTACTTTGTTCTGCTCATCATTACGGTAAGAGACTGAAAACTCAGATACGTAATGTGCATCTGTTACTAGTGAATCTATAGCTTCTTTTTTTTGTCAAGAATCTATAGCTTCAATGTCAAGAAATTTGGATGTGTGAACAGGATGGAGTCCTTACGGACATGGCGGGTACAGTAGACGCATTGGTGAGAGCTTCTGATCTCCCGTTGTCAGTTCTCATCATCGGTGTGGGAAACACAGACTTCAAACAAATGGAGGTACAAGTTTTGTTTTGTCAAGTTAGTTTTTATCTCTGTCTCTTTGCAATAAGTAAACTTGCAGTGACTTAACTGTGTAAATCTTTCAGATGCTTGATGCTGATAATGGTCGCCGGTTAGAGAGTTCAACTGGTCGGATAGCTACACGGGACATCGTTCAGTTCGTTCCTATGAAAGACATCCATAGTGAGTTTTAAATTTCTTCATCTACAAATTTTCTGTACATCATATAAAAAGGCATGCTTACATAGGATAGTGTCAAGTGTTTAGATGCGTTTAGGATGGTTGTAAATGTTGAATTTGGTGTGGGTGCAGGTGGACAAGTGTCGGTGGTCCAGGCACTTCTAGAAGAACTTCCCGGCCAGTTTCTGAGCTATGTCCGGTCCAGAAAGATTAATCCGGTCGGAGCTCCAGCGATTTGAAGTTCACCAGCATAGCCTAGTCTCTTTTTAGATTCTCTGTCTTTTTTTTGCATAGATTCATTTTATGGTCACCTTACCATCATGTTCTCAATTTACTTGGGTTGGAAAAAACAAATTAAGGTTGGTTAGAAAGAAAGAGAAAACATATCAGAATTTGGTAAATGTATATATATAAGCTTATTTGCATCACAATAGTTTTTTTTTTGCATATATGGCATGCGAGAACATGAAATAAACCACTGACGAATCAAAATAAAACTGCCTAGGTACGTACGTTGATGAGATCTGAAAATATTAAGTTATTGCTGTATTGAGCTTTGTATTAAGCAAGGGAAAAAAAAAACATACGATTTATCTCTCAGATTCTCAATTGACGCATGATCTTTTAAAAAACAGAGAGAGTTGGAGATGCGGGGGATCGAACCCCGTGCCTCTCGCATGCAAAGCGAGCGCTCTACCAATTGAGCTACATCCCCAACTTGATAATTGTTCTAAATTTACTCCAATAATCTATAACAGTTTTCAAAGACACAATTCATAAGTATATATAACAAGAACTGCAGATGAGGGTAATTAAGTAAGTTAATTCAGGTGAGACCAACAGATGAGGGTTATTTACTAAGTTAACTCAGGATTACCATGACTTGGGTCCAAACCAAATGAGTTTTACTTCTAGAGTGAAATTAGCAAATGAGACTAATGAAATTGATACATAGTAAAAGCAATGGTTAGGTTCATCAAAGGTTACATGTATTTGCAAAAGAGTTTCAAATATGCCTTGCTTGTGTTCGAACCAAACAGACTGCAAATGTGTCTGGGTTTGATATATTGTTTAATACCAGTACCATTGATACTTGATCAGTTCCGAAAAATTATATCATTCAGTAATTAAACATACTTAGGCAATAGCCAAGCTTTTAAGCAAATCTGATCCCCTAAAAAAACACCAACAGGGTCTATTTTACAAGTTCGGAATCCAAACAACAGAAACAGAACAAAGAAGAAACTCAGAACTCCTGAGAAGCAGATCCAATATCTCCTTTGTTCTTGCCAACCTTGGAAGGCAAAAGATTCTGATGAATATTTGGCAAAACACCTCCATTCGCAATCGTCACACTTCCCAGAAGTTTACTCAGCTCTTCGTCGTTCCTCACTGCAAGCTGAATGTGTCTTGGTACTATACGTGTCTTCTTGTTATCCCTTGCTGCGTTTCCCGCAAGCTCCAACACCTAGACCAAACCAAATCAAAATCGAATCAGTACAAGATCCAATTCAGATGTGACCAAATCGAAATCGAAAAGCCAATTTGATGATAAATTACCTCAGCTGCGAGGTATTCGAGAACAGCGGAGAGATAGACGGGAGCTCCGGCACCGACACGCTCGGCGTATTTACCGGCTTTGAGGAATCTGGCGATTCTTCCGACAGGGAATTGAAGACCGGCTTTGGACGAACGAGAGACGGATTTGGTGGCCTTTGGCTTTCCTCTGCCACCTTTGGTTGTTCCGCTTCCTGCTCCAGTACTCATCGTTCTCTTCGAAACTAGAACGACTTGAAGAGACTTTAGCAGAATTCGAAGAGAAATGAAGTGTTGGTGTGCTGGGAATTGAGAATATGAGTGGCTTTAGGGTTTTGCTGTTCTCTATATATATAGGCTGAAAATTTTAATTCTGATTGGTTACACTTTAGGTCACGCGGATTGCCAGCGTGGCAATCATCTAGCCTTTCAATTATTATGTGATCTATGGTTCGTACATCTCTTCTTCTTTTTTTGAAATAATGTACCAAAAAGAAAGTGATTTTAATGGAAAAAGTCCTCCACTATTGATTATTATATAATTTTAGACCCTGAATTTTTATCTGTTAGTTAAAAATCCCCCGTCGAAAAAAAACTCTTAAACAGATTCGTTAAACAAATGTTACTAACAATTAAACTCAAAATTATTTTAGCGCTTCTAAAATTATTACTACATCAATACATTTATTGCGGATTGGTCTTCCCAAAGTATTGATGGATATTAGCTGTAGAAATTAGAATCATGAAAAGTCACTTTTATATTTTATAGTTTTAACTGGATAATTATTAAGTTAGCATAAACTACAAACACTAATGAGTGGCTAATTAATCACACAGATTAACAAGTTGTTATGGATAGTTGGGTATTTAATTGCAAAAAATTCAGAGCAAATCGTTTCGTGTCTCGCTCATCTCCTCCTTATAGCAGCTGTTGGATTCATGAAGCCTCTTCCTCGAACTCAACTTTAAGATTTTTGGGTCAAGATTCAAGTCTCCTCCGGTGCTCTGTCTTAAAAAGGCATGTTATGATAGAATATAAATTACCTATATATAGTATAAATCTGTGTGTGCATAACTGCATATCTTAGATTTACCTATATATATGATCAAGCAACAAGATTAAATCAATAAAATATATATAGCCGACATAAAAGATATCAATATCTACTTACTATATATATATATAGAATAGTATTATTGAGTCAAAAAGATCTATAACAACAGTTGTTCACATGGGACACGACCAATGAGTCAATGCCAATTGCCAAATAAAAGCTTGAAGAGTGAAGACTATTAAAGAAGAGAGAAACAGGAAAAAAAGATACTAGTAAAAAGAAAGAAAAAAAAAAAAAAAAGGGAGATGGAATCTGGAAGTATCAAAACACCTCTGGTGAATAATGATCAAGAAGAAGCAAGAACCTCTTCTTCCATCACTTCTGGTCTTCTTCTCAGTACCTCCGTCGCTGTCACTGGATCCTTCGTTTATGGCTGCGCTGTGAGATTTCATCACCTCTCTTTTGCTTTTCTTTCATTTTATTTTTCCGGTGATTTTGGATTTCACCAATCATCATCTTAATTAACATGCCTCAGATTGGACTTTTTTCTGATAAAACCTCGATAGCTTTTTTCGTCTCAAAATTGTTATTTGATTATATGTGATTTTGAGTGATATCTACTTATATACTCTTTCCGTTTCAAAATATAAGGCGCTTTGAAGAAATTTTTTTGTTTCACAATATAAGTCGTTTTCAAGTTTCTATGCAAATTATATATTACTTTAATATTTTATGATTATTTTTATTATACAGTCTTTTTTATGATTGGTTGAACTTTTAAAAAGTAGATTTTTTTAATCGGTGTGTTTTTAGCTAAAACGCTTTATATTTTGAAACGGATAGAGTATCATTTTATTATTGTGGCCTAATTTTGACATCAATATCATAATTGGAAGATGTCATATTCGTCGCCTGCTCAATCCAAAATCATGGAAGAACTGGGACTTTCCGTGGCAGATGTAAGTCATCCATGTGTGTGAGCAAATCAATAACATTTTTTTTGACGTCAGCATCCATTATCATTTATTAATCTATTTTTTTCTTTTGGCCAGTATTCGTTTTTCACATCGGTAATGACATTGGGAGGAATGATAACAGCCGCGCTTAGTGGAAAAATCGCTGCAATTATTGGTCGTCGACAGGTAATTAAATTTTGTTTGTTAATTTATGTTGGATCACTTTTGTTTTTTTCTTTTCTTAAGATGACGTAATAAACACGTTTTGATTTGTTCATCTCTTTGATCTCAGACAATGTGGATCTCGGATGTTTTCTGCATCTTTGGTTGGCTAGCTGTAGCCTTTGCACATGTTTGTTTCTCCACTTCTCCATCTTGTAAATTTACTTTTGACACATGTTTATATTTTCTTATAAAGTTAACATTTGATTTGTTGTGATTATTGTCAAGGATAAAATGCTGCTAAATATTGGACGAGGTTTCTTGGGGTTTGGGGTTGGTCTCATAAGTTATGTGGTAATTAACTTTATCATCTGTTTTTTAAAACAATTTTTTTAGTTATTTATAAGTGTAGTGTTGATATATATATTAATATGTCATTTTACACCTTATATTTTGTTTGATCGATTGGTCAAAATTACACAGGTACCTGTGTATATAGCAGAAATTACACCTAAAGCATTTCGTGGAGGATTTTCTTTTTCCAATCAAGTAAGGAGTAAAACAATCCAATGATATCTAATAGCTTATAAATTCAGAATATCAATATTTAGTTATTATTGTTATCTTGCATTTGAACTTGCAGCTTCTACAAAGTTTTGGAATTTCGCTCATGTTCTTCACCGGAAACTTTTTTCATTGGAGAACATTAGCTCTTTTAAGTAACTATATTTTTCTCTTAATGAACTAAATCTCAAATCATAATAAATTTCTAATATGTATACTTAAATCACATTATTTAACTTATTCTTGAATTTTCAATCTATGATTAGGTGCAATCCCATGTGGTATCCAAATGATATGTTTATTTTTTATTCCTGAATCACCTAGATGGCTGGTAATTCATGCGCTAGAAGTTTTTTTTTTTTTAATATTAACTTTCAATGTATGTTGGTAATATTATTTATAACTATGGTCTTCATATTAATGTTCACCTTAGGCTATGTATGGTAGAGAACGAGAACTTGAAATTACTTTGAAGAGACTAAGAGGAGAAAATGGTGATATTCTCGAAGAAGCAGCTGAAATCAGAGTAATTATTTATTTTTTGTTCCGGAAATATTACTAATTTGGCTAACATATACGTATTTTGGTTTGCACAAAAAAAAAAAAAACGTATTTTGGTTAACTTTTAATTCGATCTAAAATGTGAAACAGGAAACGGTGGAAACCTCTAGAAGAGAATCTCGAAGTGGACTAAGAGATTTGTTCAATATTAAAAACGCACATCCGTTGATCGTAAGTCTCATCAAATACCTATCATTTTATCTATAGAAATAATTTAAAAGAGATTTTGATTGAGTTCTTATCTAGTTTTGTGACCTATTGATGATCAACTTAAAAAACGGATAGACAACTTTATGCGTATATGGATATATGCCTATAAGTAGAATGAAATACTCCTAACGGGAAAAAAAAAAAAGGAATGTAGTATACATTTAACTTGTTCAGTGAAATAAATAAAGATTAATTTGTTTTTTTTTCTGTTTATTAATTTCGTTGAAAACTATTAGATTGGATTGGTCCTAATGCTCTTGCAACAATTTTGTGGGAGTTCCGCGATAAGTGCTTATGCTGCTCGTATTTTCGACACAGCCGGTAAACCATAATAAAGAAAAATTCAATGGCAGGTCCATAGCTTGTTTAATATTGTACTCCATCCGTTTCATAATATAAGTCGTTGTAAGTAAAAGCACGCCGATTAAGAAGATTTACTTTTTAAAAGTTTAATCAATCATAAAAAAAATTGCATAATATAAATAATCATAAAATATTAAAATAATAATATAATTTGCATTGAAACTCGAAAACGACTTATATTGTGAAACAAAAAAACTTTATCTAAAACGCCTTATATTATAAAACGGAGGAAATATCAAATTTCACCTCACGATTTTCAAATATATTGTCTTGGGTATTTAGGTTTCCCAAGCGACATAGGAACATCCATCCTTGCAGTTATTTTGGTAAATCTAAACATTGTCTTTTAAGTAATTAACATTTTTTTATCGTAAAACATATATTTCACATATTCACAACAACTTATTCTTGTTTTTAGGTACCGCAATCTATAATTGTCATGTTCGCCGTCGACCGATGTGGACGCCGACCACTTCTGATGGTAATCATTTCATTATCTTCGATATAAGTATAATTTTCGTAATTGATTTCCTTGGATAAAAGATATTATTTAAGGTTTGAAATTGCATAGCTGTTCTATCTTTTTTTTTTTAATCTAATGTTAAATTATATTCAAAAATAAACGTTTAGGTTTACTCTTCTTAACTATTTTAATCATGCAGAGCTCTTCTATCGGTCTGTGCATATGTTCATTTTTTATTGGCCTTTCATACTATCTTCAGGTTTACTCTTCTTAACTATTTTAATCTTTATAACTTTCATTTGATTTTTAGTTTTTATAGACTAAATATTATTTATCCCCACGAGCAGAAGCATGGTGATTTTCAGGAGTTTTGTTCCCCTATGTTAATCGTCGGTTTAGTGGTACGTAAATGCCAATCTTTATTTTCTGTCAATTACTTCTTTTGGTTTAAGTCATACTTTGTTGAAAGAAACCACAACACTAATCAACCAAGTCATATATACCAGGGTTATGTCTTATCCTTTGGCATTGGTTTAGGTGGACTACCATGGGTTATAATGTCTGAGGTATTTGTTTATTTTCTTTTAAACTATAAATATCGCTCTGTGCAACCTGATATTACCATTTGAACCTTAATTAAAAATGTTAGCATCTATCTATATGAATAATTTTTAACAAATAAAATTCATAAGCTAAAATAGAATAACTAACAAAAGAATGATATAAAAAGATATGAAAACTCATTACATAGTAAAAATGAATTTAGTATCTTTCCAATATAATTTGATAATATCGCCTGTTTGAAGACCTCTTGCATATCTGATATTTGTCCATCCAGTTCCGATATGATAACCAACACCGTGTTTTTTTAAATTTACCCAATAAGATTTGTTATGATCCTGAATTTCCACTTGTATACCATTTCGAGGTAATGTAATTCCTGTAGTTCTAAGTATATTTTCCATTTTTGCTTTGGGTAAAAACAAACAACCTCTACGAGAAAGATCACAGTCTTTTAGTGTTTTTTCTATCATCATTTTAGGATCCATTTTATTAAAGTTTTAACTACCTTAGAAATATAACTAAAAATGCTTTAACAAAGTAAATATTTTAAGGAGTCTGAAGACTAGAACTCAGCACATCTATTTATATATAGTTATTAACCAAAATAATTTTCCTTATTTTCTATGTTTATCTTTATAGTATTTAATTATGCTAAAAAAGCTCTCTAAAATTTCATAATTTATTCATTATATATGGCAGGTGTTTCCGGTGAATGTGAAAATTACCGCCGGTAGCCTTGTAACAGTATCTAACTGGTTTTTCAGTTGGATAATCATTTTCAGTTTTAATTTCATGATGCAATGGAGTGCTTTCGGTAAAATTCCATCCATTAATTAGTGTCTTCATAATATTACAAATCTGAGACAAATTTGCTTTACTATTATTTTCGATAGTATTTGATAATCGTTGCAATAAAAAGAAGAGAAAACAAAGAAATAACTAAATAACACATAAAATTCTTATTTGTTTTATTTTTCTAAGTTTCTAGGTTTGTGTATAATCAAAATTAGTGGGTATATATGTCTTTTAAATAATTAAAAATACAAAAACGGGAAGATTAAAGAATTTTATGTTAGGAATGTCCCCTCAAATTAATATTTTCATTATATACTTACTTTAGATATGGAATTTGAAAAGTGACTATATAGTTATTTTGGTTTATTGGAATTTTCAGGAACATATTTCATATTTGCTGGAGTTTCTCTGATGTCATTCGTATTTGTATGGACTTTGGTGCCTGAGACGAAAGGCCGAACACTCGAAGATATCCAACAATCACTAGGCCAACTTTCATAAATCTAAAGTTGATTGTTTTTTTTTTTTTTTTGTCAAACTTATTGTTCAAGGCCACAATGCCAGTGCCAGATATTGTTTTATTGATGTTTACATATATAAGTCATGTATCTCCGATTTTGGAGTTCCGAATTTTTTTACTTTTAATATATTTTTGTCAATATATTTGGTTGACAGAAAAAATATCAAACTTTGTGGTATTATTCGTTACAAAAGTTATTTAACAATATTTTAAACCATATAATATTTGATTATGTATGTTTGTTAAACAAAATTCACGCACCACTTAAAACTTGGTTACTCATCGGATCTGGCAAGTTGCAACTCGAAGTCTAATTGCCATTTACAAAATAACTCAATGAGCCGATTAATTAAAGATAAAATGATTAATCACATGTGACAACGACCAATGAGGCATGGCCAATAAAAGCATAAATAGACTATTCAAAGTTAGGATAAGGAGCAAAGAAAGAAGATGGAATCTGAAAGTTTTGAATCTCCTCTGCTGAATAAGCAAGAAGAAGCATCCTCCTTCACTTCTGGTCTTATTCTCAGCACATCCGTCGTTGTCGCTGGATCATTCTCTTATGGCTGCGCCGTGAGATTTTTCATCATCTCTCTCTCTCTCTTTCTTTTTTCTTTCAATTTATTTTTCACTGATTTTGGATTATTACAGGTTTAGAATCCTAATTTTTTTGTGCATAATTTTGATAATTATACTATACTTTGTAGATGTCATATTCGTCGCCTGCTCAATCAAAAATTATGGAAGAACTGGGACTTTCTGTGGCAGATGCCTTGTTTGAAAAATCGCTAGGCGCTAGTCGGGCGCTCGGCATGGGCCTAGCGATTAATCGGAAAATCGGATTAAAATCGGGGATTAATCGGGGATTAGTTTTAGGGTTATTTTAATATTTTTAAAATATATTAATCCAATATTGTAAAAATTTATGATTTTTATTACAAATTTATGATTTTTATTAAAATTTGAACACAAGTTATTGTAAAACATCACAAACTCTCCATTCAAATGATTGAATAACAAAAATAAAAAGTTTTTTTATACTTGCAATCTAAAAAATAATCGGGGTATATAAGATTAGGCGGAAAATAATCGGATTAGGCGGAGAATAATCGGGTTACTGATTTTTTAGGGGATTAGTCATTAATCGAAGCGGATAGGGTGGGCCTAGCGATTAAGCGGGGAGTAATCGGGGCTAGGCGGGGATTTTTAGAACAGGGGGCAGATGTAAGTCCACCTTACCTGTGCTCATATCAATATCGGTTTTTGTTTTGTTTTAGTGAATCTCAAACCGGTTCAATAAACCAGACCAGCAAACTCGGTTTGAATGGTCTAATTCTATTTTGGCCAGTTTTCGTTTTTCACTTCGGTAATGACATTAGGAGGAATGATTACGGCCGCGTTTAGCGGGAAAATATCTGCTCTCGTTGGTCGTCGACAGGTAATTATTGTTGGACCGGTTCCGGTTTATCTTTTGATTTTATTGGATCTTCTAAGATGAAGTTATTCTTTTTTTTTTTTTAATGTGTTTTCTGATTTGCTGGTCTATTGATATCTCAGACAATGTGGATCTCAGATGTTTGCTGCATCTTTGGTTGGCTCGCTGTAGCATATGCACATGTTTGTTTCTCCAAATCTCCCTTTTTAAAACTTCAAAGATATGTATTTACTCAAAAAATTTAATAATTCTTTGCAAAGTTTTGTTTTAAGCAGTTAACATGTTGCTTATTGTGATTATTTGAAGGATATTCTACTGCTTAATATTGGACGACTCTTCTTGGGGTTCGGGGTCGGTCTCATTAGTTATGTGGTAACTAAATTTATCGCCCCTTGTTATTTAAACAAAATTTCTAGTTTTTTATTAGCTTGTTAGTGTCGTTTATACCATTTTTATTTATGGATCTACTGGTCAAAATAACCAGGTTCCTGTGTATATAGCAGAAATTACACCCAAAACATTTCGCGGAGGATTTTCTTATTCCAATCAGGTAAACTAAAAATAAAAACTATATCAAAATAACTTATAAATACGAAAACAAAATATTTAGTGATTATTGTTATCTTTGGTTTGAATGTGCAGCTTCTACAATGTCTTGGGATTTCACTCATGTTCTTCATTGGAATTTTTTTCCATTGGCGAACATTAGCTCTTTTAAGTAACTATATATATTTGTCTCATCTAAACTATCTAAAATGTAATATTTATACTTGATCATATTGTCCAAACTAATTGTTGATTTCAAATCTACGACTAGGTGCAATCCCAAGTGCTTCCCAAGTGATATGTTTATTTTTTATTCCTGAATCTCCTAGATGGCTGGTATGTCTAACACTTTCAGTTGTTTTACTATTATTTTTAAATGTATTTATTGGTACGTAACGTAATACTATAAGCACAATTTACGTAGCAATGTTCCTTTTATAGGCGATGTATGGTCGAGATCAAGAACTTGAAGTTACTTTGAAGAGATTAAGGGGAGAAAATAGTGGTATTCTTGAGGAAGCAGCTGAAATCAGAGTAATGAATTAATTGATTTTTTTTTCAGTTACATTTTTACATACATAGTAATTAACACCCTTTGACAAAAAAAAAAAGTAATTAACACCAAAAATATATGAAACAGGAAACAGTGGAAATATCCAGAAAAGAGTCTCGAAGTGGAATAAGAGACTTGTTCCATATAGGAAACGCACATTCGTTAATCGTAAGTCTCCTCTAATACCAATCATCTTTTATATAAATTAAATAAATGTTTTCTTGGTTTATTAATTTGGTTGAAAATGATTAGATTGGCTTGGGATTAATGCTTTTGCAACAATTTTGTGGGAGTGCGGCGATAAGTGCTTATGCTGCTCGTATTTTCGACAAAGCAGGTTAACCAAAACAAATATGAAGAGCAGGTCACAACTGGTTTGATATTTGTAGTCAATACCATCTCACGATTTTTAACTTCATTGTTTGGTGTGACTAGGTTTTCCAAGCGACGTAGGAACAACCATCCTCGCAGTTATTCTGGTACATTGTTCTCTTTTGCTACTCTTTATCATCTACTCCCTCCGTATTTGAATAAATGTCGTTCTAGCCTTTTTTCTGTGTTTTTAATTAGTTGTCATTTTAACAACTTTTGCATAAAATTTCCTAAATTACCCCCAATTAATTGATCATAATTAATCAGTCTAAATTACCAAAACTACAGATACCAAAAATATAATTGTAAATAATCGTTTCTCATAAGGTTAGTTTTGTAATTCTGTGCCCTTTCTTAATTCACCCAAAAACAGTTGAAACGACATTTTTTCAAATACAGAGGGAGTATTTATCTTTGAATATTTCATCTTTTTAATTTCAGTTACAACTTCTTTTTTTTTGTAAAGATACCGCAATCTATAGTTGTCATGTTAACTGTCGACCGTTGGGGACGCCGACCACTTCTTATGGTTACAATTTCACTATAACATTTCGTTGCTGATTTCCTAGGATAACAAATTATTTTCCAAATTTGATTATTATTTTTATTTTGCAGATTTCTTCTATCGGTATGTGCATATGCTCATTTTTAATTGGCCTTTCTTACTATCTTCAGGTTTAGCCTACTTAACTACTTAATCTAACTAAATTGCTTTGTTTAATTTTTTTATAAAAATATTAGTTTTTTCCTCCATGAGCAGAAGCATGGTGAATTTCAGAAGTTATGTTCCGTTATGTTAATCGTCGGTTTAGTGGTACGTAAATGCCAAAACTTACTTTCCAGTCAATTAACCAATGGACCAACCGGTTTATAATAACCGCTATATATTGCTTGATGAAACCACGACACTAAGACCATGGGCAGTGGAGAAAGTGTGAAAGTGGGTGTAAACTTTTTTTTATTATTATAATTTAAAGAGAGATAGAAAAGAGAGAGAAAAAGAAAGAGAGAGAGAGGGAGAGTGTGTGTTACACCCGAGTGTAAAGTTACACTCGGATGTGAAGAGAGAGACAATTTTCTTTTTTTTTATTACCTCTAACACTTTTTAGCTTGCTCCACTGCTGATGCTCTAATAAACCAAGTCATATACCAGGGTTATGTCTCATCTTTTGGCATTGGTCTAGGTGGACTACCATGGGTTATCATGTCTGAGGTATTTGTTTACTTTTCTGTTAAACTAAAAAAAAAAAAAAAAGTTAAGTTCTTTTCATATGAAATTTCATAATTGACTTGCTAAATTTGGCAGGTATTTCCGTTGAATGTGAAAATCACCGCCGGTAGCCTTGTAACGATGTCAAATTGGTTTTTTAATTGGATTATCATTTATAGTTTCAATTTCATGATACAGTGGAGCGCTTCCGGTAAGATTCTACACATCAAAATTATAAATTTTTAATCAAATATAACTGTTCAATTATTTAGTAAACATAAGAGAAAGATCATATATATAGTTATTTTTGTTTATTGAATTTTTAGGAACATATTTCATATTTTGTGGAGTTTCTTTGGTGACGATCGTATTCATATGGACATTGGTGCCCGAGACGAAAGGCCGAACACTCGAAGAGATTCAAGCATCATTAGTCCGACTTTCGTAATTCTAAGTATGTATTGTACATATGTTATAAATTATAAGTCTCTTAAATGGCTATGATTTGATCTAGAAATATTAAAATGTGGTAATTTAATAATTGAAACTGTGATTTGTGAGCTCTAATCTTGATTAGAGTGACACATAGGAAACGTTAAAGTAAGGAGAATAGACCGTCGCAGGCTAATGTAGAGATTAACGTTATAGTTTTGCAAAAGTTACGATCCCTGTTCTAAAAATCTCCGCTTAGACCTGATTACTCTCCGCTTAATCGCTAGGCCCACCATATCTGCCTCGATTAATGACTAATCTCTTAAAGAAATCAGTCACCCGATTACTCTCTGCCTAATCCGATTACTTTCCGCCTAATCCGATTATTCCCCACCTAATCCGATTATTCCCCGCCTAATCTTACATACCCCGATTATTTTTAGATTGCTAGTATAAAAAAAACTTTTTATTTTTGTTATTCAATCATTTGAATTGGGAGTTTGTAATGTTTTACAATAATTTATGTTCAAATTTTAATAAAAATCATAAATTTGTAATAAAAATCATAAAATTTGTCTCAAAAATACATTTTTATGTGTTTACTGCAATTTTGAAAATAATATTAGATTAATATGTTTTAAAAATATTAAAATAACCCTAAAACTAATCTCCGATTAATTCCCGATTTTAATCCGATTTTCCGATTAATCGCTAGGTCTATGCCGAGCGCCCGACTAGCGTCTAGCGATTTTTCAAACAAGGGTTATGATTAATAGTAGCACTTAAATTGTCCAATCACAAAGCCTACAACAAAAAACACGAATGGAGAAAAAAGACTCTTTTTTTTTTTTTTTTTTGGTCAAAGGAAGAAAAAGACTTAATGAATAAAACTAGACTAGAACTAGAAGGGAATTTAGTAATAACTATGAGAAGTTTAAGGACTGCTTTGTAAAATAAAAAAAACATTGAGGAGTAAACTGCTAACTATAAAATGACGCAAGCTACTCGCTAGTCGTGGTGTCGGCTTAGTTAGACTTATTTATATCCTGGAAACTTCCCGGAGAAGGAGAAGAACTTTCAAGTTTCAATGGTGATTCCGGCGACTTCTAGGTATTTTGTCTTCACTCATTTGTATAATTATCAATTAGTCTCTATCATTTGACTTTTGATTTTCTTGTTTAGTTTTAAGTGTATCAGTTAATTGTTTAATACTTAGTAAAAGTTTCTACATAAAAAATGGGTTTAACTAACATTCTTCTTGTAATTACGTCTAGGTTTGGGTTTCGAGCTGGATTCGACACCAAGGAGTTTCAAGCTTTCTGCATCTCTCTCGCTAAGTAAAATCTCACTTTACGTTTCCGTTGAATTCATCTTTGTTTTAACCTAAAAAATCTTCATTTCTGGGTGTTTCGAGCTTCACTGAGAAATCTTCTCCTGATTTGGTGAATGCAGTGAAATCGATGCGGCTATTGGGAAAAATGAAGTTCCAGTGAATATTCAAGAGCTGGCTTTAATCCTCAATCATGTGTGTTTAATTTTTGTCTTGTAAAACTTTCCTATTTTCAAGGTGCTTCTTCCGTTTGGGTTTAGTATATAGTCTTAGTGCTGTTGTTTATGTGTTATATGGTGCAGGTGTGCCGACGTAAATGTGATGATTATCAAACGAGCGCGGTGGTAATGGCGCTGATGATCTCAGCCAAGGTAAAATAAAAGATAGAGTTAGAATTAGTAGCTTTAGCTCAAGTCATTTTGGCTGAGTTTTTGCTGATTTGAATATTGGTTCTTGTATAGGTTACTTAGTTGAGGTGTATATGTAATACTGTATTTGTGTTTCTCTCACAGAGTGCTTGTCAGCTTGGATGGTTCCCGCAGAGAGAGACTCACCAACTGTTGGCTATCATAGACTTGGTATGTTTCGTTCCAGCCGAATGTCTCATTAGAGAATAATCTGGATTCTGTGAATAATGATGTTTTTATTCTTGTTCAGATGTGGAATAGTTTCAGCTGTCCTGAAACTGTCACCCCTAGTCTAAATAGCCCCGTCAGTCTAATATCGCAGGTCATAGAGAGGTAGGCTTCGATTTTATTATGATATTTTAGCTAATAAGGATTGAGTAATTGAAAGTATTTGGCAGCTTCTTATATGTGTTCATTCTTTTATTTCAAATTAGCAAGGTTACTAGTCTGCTACTGTAAAGAAAACTTGGTCACTAAAATCAAAACGTTGGTTTGTTTGAATCTCCTTCTTTTCTGTCTATATAGGTTCTATCCATGTGTGAAGCTGGGGCATATTCTTGTTTCTTTTGAGGCTAAGGTTACTTTATATATTATTCAGTTCTTAGCACCCTTTTTTTTTAATGTATGCTTTAGTTAGCTTTGTTTCTCCTGGCAGCCAGAATCAAAGATGTTGGTGAAGGACTTCCATATTTCAAAGGCGATGCCACATTCTCACAAACAGAGGGTAGTATGTATTGGAATTTGAGTATTGAATGTGTTTCTTGGTACCAGATTTTGCGTCGTCGTTTAAATTTGTTTGGTCTCTCATATAGTATTGTGCATGTTTGGCTACTCCTGCATATATGTTTTTAATGCAATTAGGTTAGAAGATGCATGAATGTACTTTCAAAGCTTACCTTTAAGCTTTGCTCGTTGTGTCACTTCAGCATTTTATAGTTTTGAATCTTTGTTTATGTACCTGGTTCCTATACTCAGTAGTTTATTATGGAATTTTGCTTGCTCTTCAGGGATTATTTGTGGTCTGGACAGAGGACATAAGCAGATCTAATTGTATTGTACATCCACAAGAAGTCAGGTGTGGTTGGATTGCTTTCCTTTTTTCAGCCGGATGTTTGTGAAGCAGTTTTTTATTTTAACCATATTGATTTACATTTGAAAATTACAGCTTTTTGTTAAATGGAAATGGCGTTGACAAGAGAGTTAACATCTCAATGGTTTGTGCATTTCATTTGTTTCTTGGATATGTTTTGGAAGTACTTACTACTTACTATGATACAAGTAATTGTTTATTGTAATTTCTTTTCAGGAGTCTGGGCCGCAGCTTCCAACTAATGTTACTGCCCTGCTCAACCCTGGGGCAAATCTTCTACAAGCAATAGGCTGTTTTCGAGGTTTATGTTCATTGAAGATATCATTTAACCATCTTTATTTCCTCTCCTCATTTTCAGTAATAATGGACAGCTACTCATTTGCTATAGGTAGTTACTTAATTGCTATTGCTTTCATGGATGTCATACCGCTGCCCGACAAACCGTTGCTGAAAGATTATGTTCATCCTGAAGTCATTGAATCAAACTCAGGTATATCTAAGAGTATTTGGTGACTAGGAGAAGAAACTATTTGTGTGATTAGTCTATGTATTCGTATAATTGTATTCCGAGAACTCATTGTTTGTCTTTCCCAATTTGTCTATAGATTGTGACATAATTGAGGGGCCATCAAGGATATCTCTCAGTTGTCCTATCAGGTATCTGGGATGTCTTCCCTATGTAGCGTTATATCTCAAGAAGTTGCTTTCACAGTTACCTCAACCTTTTAAGATTTAATCATCACAATTATAACAGCCGAACGCGTATCAAACTTCCTGTGAAGGGTCATGTCTGTAAACATCTTCAGGTGATGCATTTTCTGTTAAGCATAAGAAATTATAGGATCATCATTGTTTTCATTGCTTAAATCATTATGAAAAGAACTATTTCATTAATACGTAACATTCAAGCCTGTGGTTTACTTCGCTGTTGCCATAACCAATGTTCAAGAAAGCGCTAGGCGCTAAGCGGGCGGTGACCCAGCGCCTAGCGCCTAGAACGCCTAATCGGGGCCTAGGCGATTTTTAGGCGGTTTAGACGTTTATAACATAAAACATTATAAGTATGATATTATATATAAAAGTTATAGAAAAAATCTAGAAAAAAACTAGAAATACGAAATCATAAACAAAAATTAGATAAATCATTTATTTATATTCATACTAAATAATATATGAATATTTATAACTATTTATATATAAATAAATTTATTCAAAAATCAATAAAATACATTAAACAAGGTCTATGTAATTTTAGGCGGTCAAGGCGGTTATCTAGGCGTCGCATAAGAGCCTAGCGCCTAGTCGGGGTCTAGGCGACCGCCTAGACCGCTTTTTAGAACACTGGCCATAACATGTCTTCTCAAAGTATGATTTTTGTAAGTTAATACGATATAAATGTGTGACATCCTCGATTGAAAATTGCTAGTAAAAGGGATTGGCTTTAGCGAAATTAGAAACTATAGAAATATTTCCCTCATCTCTGTTTTATATGTTTCTTTCTGCTGTAGTGTTTTGATTTCTGGAATTATGTCAACATGAATACAAGACGACCATCATGGCGCTGCCCGCATTGCAATCAATCTGTTTGCTATACTGACATCCGTGTAGATCAAAAACTGAGAAAGGCAAGTAGCTTATTTTTGTTGCTTAGTGATACATCTTTTTACATTCTACACTAAATAAAGAATCTTCGCTAATATCCACAGATTCTAGAAGAAGTGGGACGTAATGCTGCAGATGTGGTTATCTCTGCTGATGGAACATGGACGGTTGAAACGGAAAACGATGATGACGTGGAACTTGTGCCGGAAACCACTCATGACCATGGAGATCCAAATAGTTTCATAAACTTGGGGCCTACTGTTTCGAATCTTGCCAGAGATGAGAATGAAATGGAAACATCCGGTGGCACCCAAGTCGATGAACAGAATCCTTGTTTATCTGAGATTCAGGGTCCGTCAAATAACACACATAGGCCTGCTACAGATTACACTATGCTTAACCAGTCTCCTGCTTCAATCAACACACTGCCACAAACTCTGAATGCCTTTGATGGTCAACAATTCGTGAATTTACCACAAGTAGTAAACACCCGAGATTCAGCAGCAAGACAAGCCTCACCTGTGACATTCTTACCAACCTCATCTCCACAAGATATATTAGCTACTAATGCGGCAAACTTTGGCACATCAATGCCGGCTGCTCAGTCTTCTCAGTTTCAAGGCTCACATGTTACGTCCCTTGGAAATTGTCAAGGAAGAACTTCTGATTTGATGGAGAGATGGAACCACATCCATGGACGTGGCAGAAATCAAACTCAATTGCCACCACCTGCACCTCTGTCGCAGCATCATTATGCGATGCAGGTTTGTCAACCATTACCCTACGGTTGCATTTTGTTTGTTTGCGCAAATATCTGGTTAAGCTACATTACCATGATATCTTATCGACTTATACATTCCATCTAGTGCAATCTAACATTTCGTTGCTGGTTACAACTTATAACAGAAATTATGAGCAATTCAAATGGACGGTTAACACATGTTGCGATTTTCATCTGCTTCAGATTTGCTTTAGTCTATGAAAGTTAGAACAGATACCGGATCTTAATTACCATTTGGGCCTGCGAGGATTCCGATCTCTAATCTCGCCTATCCATAAATTACTTGCTTGTTTAACCAACTCTGAAGTTTTTTCATTCTTATCTGTTTGCAGAATCAGAGCCCGTCCCCTGCACAGCAAAGACCAGTGCCATCTTATATTGTACATCCTCAAACTTTACCTGTCAACTACGGAGGGAACACCCATCAAAGACCGATGCCATCTTCCATTGCACATCCTCGAACTTTATCTGTCAACTATGGAGGGAACGCCCATCAAAGACCGATGAACGCTGACCAAAGACCGACGCCATCTTCAATTACACATCTCCAAACATTACTTAACTACAGAGGGAGCGCCCATCAAAGACCGATGCCATCTTCCATTACAAATCTCCAAACTTTACCTGTCAGTTACGGAGGGTACGCCCACCAAAGACCGATGTCATCTTCCATTACACAATCCGGAACTTCACCTGTCAACTACGGAGGGACCGCTGACCAGAGACCAATGCCATCTTCCATTACACATCCCCAAACTTTACCTGTCAGCTACGGAGGGATCGCTGACCAAAGACACATGCCAAGACCGATGCCATCTTCCATTACATATCTCCAAAGTTCACCAGTTAACTATGGAGGGTCCACAGACCAAATACTGAATCCTGGTGGTGCAATGGGACAGTTCTCATCACGAGACTTCATAAATTTGACTCCTGCTAACACTGAGAATTGGCACCCACAAAGCCGGATGCGTGGCAGCCTAGCACCTGGTACGAATTATGACCATATGATCATTCGACCTACCCGTCCGGTTCTACCACTAGCTCAAACACTTCCTGCGCCTCTTCCTACAGCTTATAATGGAGCAGATGAAATTCAAGCATTTTTGGTGGACCCAAGCTATCCCGTTAGTAATAACGAAACGCAAGTGGGGACTAGTTCAATGCCCGTGGCAGAGGGTCTTGGGTATTCAGGGTCGTTTTGGTCAATGCCTCCTGAGACATGGTGATATATGATGGTTTAGAGATTGTAGCACACGGTCACTAACAAAATCAGTCAGTAGTAAGAGTATATAACTAAGGCCTTTCTTTTTTGGCACTAACAGCTTTAGGCTTCCGGTACATATATGGGACAAGTTCTTGATGTAGCGTATTCCTGAGATTTACTTCATGTGAAACATTATAGGGTACCTATTTACTATAACAATTTCGCTTTCTTCTGCACCGAGAAACTTTTTAGCTCACACAACCAGTTTACATCACTAGTGGGAGTAGTGGCTTTTGTTCATTGATATGAATTTGGTTTCAGCGGAAGAATGAGAAATTTGTTGACTTTCACGAAATAACAGAACTATTTAAAGAGGGCATAAACCAAACAGCAACCACAATATCTTTGGGAAAGTGTCAATCCACAGGAAATAACGAATCAAAGTGATTCCAGTTAAGTTAGTATTCAATTTAGGTTTTGCGAATAAAAAAAAAAATCCCATGGATTTCTTCAACAACTCAGAAGCTCATGAGTTTGAAAACCACCACCGTTGTTAAAAGAGTTCTTTAATACACTACATTAGTTATGCTTCATTGTCTACAATGCCATTTATCATTTTTTTTGATATGTGTGTCAGTCGAACACATGTACTTCAAATATATCGAATCGTCAGTACCATAGTTATTAGAATTGATCAGCCAAACTAAAATCCTAAGTCCTAACCTGACTTAAAATAAATTGATCCAATTGGTAGGTACGCTGTTCATCATACTAATTTAAAACGTGTGAAGTCGTGAACTATTGAAATAAAAATAATAAACTCATTATTTATTCTTTTTAACCATGATCAGAGCTCATTTATTCTTTTATCTTCTGATATTATAAGCAAAGAAAAATATTGAAGGAATATTAATATACCAAGGTCGACAATAAGAGAACAGGATATGAATGTATAATAGACAACCTGGTCGTTTATAGGTCTATCATTAAAGTTATCAATCCCACATGAAAACCATCCACAAACACTAACCTAGGGTATGGAGAGACATGTTTGGTATGCAAGTAATAAAGAAAGCAAAATCAAGACAAATTCAAATGAGAAGAGTCTTCTTCTAGTTCTCGCATTAATTGGGTTGATTATTATCCTAATAATGATCCGTTTATATTTACGCCCTTATTAAGACTCATAATCTTTTTATCTCGGAACGAACGATAGGCCAGAAATCTCCCGGGATCAACATGTTAACTTTGTCTACAGGCAAGAGAAAGAAAGCTAGAATAGGCCCCATATCAGGAGGGGTCCTAGTCCTTATCTTGACATTAATGATTACTGAAGATACCGTTCCGATCCTGTTATGTCCTCACAAGTTTGGAATGAAATTTCAAATATTTTCGCTGTTCCCCACTACATAAATGATAAATCATATTCATATATGCAACTTTGTACAAAAAAAAAAAAAAAAAAAAATCATATACGGAATAGCAAAAAATCTTTTAAAAATTAAAACTAGTTGTCTCAATTGTTTAATATTTAGTCGGAATTACCGCCAGTTATTTGCTTTTCGATTCTTCAAAAAAGTGATGTGATATAGTTAAATAAAAACATTATAATCCAAAGCAACTTATTATAAATAAAATAATAACAAAATCTAATTTCCCATGGATTCATTAGTCTTCCTCACCTTCTTTAACAATTCAGACATCATATATATAACCTTAAAAGTAACGTTTTTCTTTTTTGTCTTTCTTATAAGTGAGAAAATTGGACATCTAACTCATAATTTTTTTGGACCTAAAACCAATGCATGTTAATACACCAACTTTGTATGCTTGATTATTTTCAAGGAGTATCATTTTTCACTTTTTTCTGACGTGTATGTTATTCGAATATGTACTTCCAATGGAAATCTCGATTTTAAATGATGTACCGATCAATATAGTATCATAGTAGAATTCATCATTAACCAAATTACAAACCTAACCTAACTCAGACGTAGATGAAGTAATACGTGCTTTGGTAGGTACGCTGATAAAAACGTGAACTATTGAAATAAAAAAGTATAAGCACAGAAAAGTACTTATAGAGGGAAAATCAATATTGATATACGAATAACGACGATAGAACAGGATATGAATGTATCGACAACCTCGTGTATTTGTATTAACATATACCTATCGCATATTGAAGGAGAGAGAACGGATCCAATGTACCACGCTATTATTCCAATTAAACAAGTACATAATAATCGACTCACTTTTTATACAACAAATATTATATTTTCTATCTCAAGCTCCACTTGTTTAACACTATGTCACTTCTGTACAATATCCCCATGCTTGTAAAGTTTTTGTTTTTTTTTTTTTTGGGAAAAGCTTGTAAAGTTTCTTATATTTCACAAATAAGTCACATTCAATTTCAAACAAACCCATAGCTGCACAGTTCATATCAGTTTAACTCCTTTATTTGGAGAACAAAAATCCACCTTAGAGAACGGTATAAAAGACTCATAATATTTTATAAAACGATATCGATGTTTTCATTTTCAAGATCTGGACCTTAGTTTTTGATTTAAGAATCTTTAAGACAACCACATTATACAGACTAAAGTTTGGACATATTCAAATTGCACTTCATTTCAATCCAAAAAAAAATGTTTGGTTAAGCTAGTTAGCAGTTTAGCACGATCGCATACACCTAATCCCGACGACAAACAATATGTGTTGGTATTGGTGTACAAGATTCTGTCCAAGGAAGTTGATTCTTTCACGATCCTTTTAATCACTCGATTATCCTCTAAGCAGCCTTCACAAACATCATATTAATTACCTAGTTGATCTTAATAATTGTCTAGTTTAGCATAACTACTGTGGCTCTGTGGTTTATTGGAAAAGTTGTCCCTAGAGACAAAAATTTATAATTACAAATCTAATTACTATACAAATTTTACAATTATTTTCAAATAAATACTTTTTTCCTGGATTTTTCCTATCTCTTCCGTTCCCATTCCCGAGACATTCATTCCAGCTTGAACATCATAGAATCTTGAAAATATCATAGAATCCCAAATCAATGATTAATTTATGAATATGATTTTCACTTTGGATTTTGATTGGTTTTCTGCAATCAAAGAAAAAAGTAGAAATTTTTACAGTATATTTCAAAATATTTTGGATGAAATGAATTTTAATTTATTTATTTAAATTAGCGACTCTTATTAAAAAAAAAATAGCACTTTTCTATTCTTTTAAAAATCTCTTGATTAACAACATTTAAAGTTGGTAGTTTACAGACGTCCATTTATAATCGGGATCGATTTTGATTGTTTTTGTTCTACTACTTGAATTTAACGAGTTAAAGAACCATTTATCTTCCAAATACCATGAAAAATTGAAAACTTGTATTTTACATTTGGTTCAGTTATTTCTATCCAATGTTAATTAAGATTTCTAATTCCAAATCCACAATAATTTGAAGTCAAACTGTCACCAGCTAAACTTAATTTGTTAGTGCCAAAAATATGCGTAATAACAATAGATTTGATAATCGTCGAATATCAAGTCGTAGGAAGCAAAAATAGACTATTCACTCCGAAAAGGACATAGAGGTTTAGGCCAATATAATAATCGATATATTTACCCATTTATTTATAAATTCTTTTAGGTCACACTTTATTATTGGAGTGCCCACTTTATTGTGTCACATGGAACTAATGGACTAAAACTTGCAGATCCTAAAAATGAGTCAGTAAAAGGAGGCTAAACATTAAAGAATCTCAACATCATGAATTCATGATACCTAAAAACAGGAGTCATTAACTTTTTTTTTGTCCCAAGATCAATGAAGAATCACCTTTCTCATTGTTGTTACTGCTTTTTTCTCTTATTTTAAGACCAAAAAGAAACAAAATACAAGTCGTGCACAAAAAAAAAAAAAAAAAAAAAACAAAATACATCTCTAAGCATGTGTTGATTTGATTATCAATCTGTACAAGAATATAAGTAACATGATACTTTTAAAAATTACAACACCTCTACCAATCTCTCAACAACCTCCCTTGTCAAGATATCGAAGAAATAGAGAAGCAATAAAAAGGTCCCTTGTTAATTATTTTTTTCGTAGAAAATAAAAAATGTCCCATGTTATCGGTTGATGTATCCTCCTAATACCTCATTTTAAAGCGTTACTGTTACGAACATGTGAAGCAAAAATACGGCGTTCGAGGATCAACAGACCAACCACACGTAAGCGTGCTACAATCTTACTTTCCGGCCAGCTAAACCAAAGGTATTATGGTTAAAAAAAAATAAAAAAAATTTGGTTTACAAGTCATGATAATATAATTGTCTTTCTTTCTACAAAATTTGGTATAATTTCTTTCTAAATGTAAAGAGCTCATTAATTAAACTCTTCAAATAAACGTTGCATTTACTAGTATCGGAAAACAAGCTAAATAACTATGGTTGATATTCTTTGATGTAATTGACGTATAGTAGTTAGATGAAATTAGTCCTCCAGTCAAAATGTTGAATGGTGAACTAAAACTGTAGAGCGATCAAATCATTTTTACAGGTACTGTTTTTTTAATCCATCATATCAAATCTTTCAAAAGAAAAAAAAATACTAACCATTTGGATAACGTGCGTTAAACCTGTTACCTCTACGTGCAGCAACAGAAAATGTGATGGTGACGAATAACGTTGATTACTTTGTAATGTGCTCTATAGGTGGAGCCTGCTCATAACACTTGTAAGGCTACAAAATGAACCTCGCTCTCTGCCTCTCTCTATTCGTTAACCATTCCTAAATCGTGTATATATATATATATATATCGTTATATCTTTTGTTTTTCTTTTTGGCAGCACCTTTTGTTTTGTTTAAACGCCTAAAAACGCCTTTGATTGTTTTTCTTTTTATTGATAGGATGAGATAGGACAATAAATACCTTTTTTGCCAGAGAAAAATTCAAGGTTGTTGATGATTTCCTTGTTTCCCCAATTAGAAAGAGAAAAATTCTTGTCGTATCAAATTAGATATTGACAAAAATGTCAAAATATATGAAGTGTGAGGAGAAACCGTTTGATTGAACGTAAGACATTTGAAAAATGGACATGTAGTAGTTTCTAGATTTGCTTACAAGGAATCATTTCTCTAACGCAATAGCTAACGTGCACGGCTTTTTTTTATGTAAACTTCAAACAAACCACGATCAACGCGTTTACTATTTATTGCATGGAA